CATAGATTGTTTTCCCATGTGGTATAAACCACAAACCTCCTTTTCCATGTTTACCGGAAAAGGAACTCCACACCATCACCTTTGCACATTGCTTCACTGTAGCAATGCAGTATTTGGCATCGTTCCTCTTCCCATCTGGACGACGAACGTATCGTTGGAAAGTGTAAAATTGATTGAAAGTAGACTCATCCGTAAGCATGACATTCTCCCAGTTATCGGATGAGAAATTGCGGTATTTGCGACAAATTGCCAACCGGTCTTGTATGTTTTTTCGAGACAACAGTGGCTTTTTTGCAGGTCGCCTTGTCTTCAGCCCAGCAAAAAGTAGTCTCCTTCTAATCGTTCGAGTACTGACATTATCTTCAGATGGTAATAATGATTGAATCCTGGCAGAAGAAGACAAGGGAGAGAGCTTGGCACACCTTACAATTGCAGTGTCCGTGCGCATGGAAGTTACCTTTGGTCTTCCACTTCTCCTTCTTGAAAGGTAATTAGAAGTGTAAGGATCAAGGAAACAGCTAATACACTTTTGGACAGCACCACAAGACACACTTAATTTACTTGCAATTTGCCGCTGACTGTGACCTTCATCAAATAGCAAACGAACTTGAGCACGTTTTACAATGGATAATTCATTACCACGAACCATTGTAAAAATTATCAATAAATTCACTAGAAATACATAAAAACACAAAATATACAGCACAAATAGATTAAAAGTATGACTCAAGCAATTTTTCTAACAATCAATCAATAGTATAACAATATAAACAAGTTACAAATAAACAATGCAAAAAATTTTCAGTATTGGCCAAAAATTTGAGGTGGATTCAAACTTTTGGCCAATACTGTAAATGCCTAGGCCAAGCATGTGACTATTAGAGTCTTTACGAATTAAAAGAAAATAACCATCAACACTAAGATCACAAGATGAGACAGAAGAACTCAAATTAGTCTGACAAAGAGCAAGTAGGTCTTGTAAACTTTGCAAGAGATAAGACTCAACAGAAGAATAGTTACTTCGAAGACCACGAATATTGGTGAATGTTTAGCAAACTTGGTGATGAATGTGGTTTTTTGTGTTTTATAGTTTTTGTTACTTTATTCATTTTTAAATTTGTTAAAGAACTTGACTCGAAACATAGATAGTACTCAGTACACTGTTTTATAGCCTAAGCAATTGCCTCATTTCTATTAATAAATTCTATGCCGTAACAAAGGGCTCCAATGTGGCCTTGGCAATGCACACCAAAAGTACAAACAGGGACACCATCCATGCGCAACATGGCACTGTTAGTACTCTGATATTTTTTAGCTGTTGATGGAATCAACCTCTCTGAGAGCTACCACAGAGTTCGGGAAACCTGACTACCAGCCGGTCTCAGAACAATAAAACTGAGTTTTAGAGCTGTACCCTCATTTGGAGATAATAGAATGAGTTGCCTAGTCATAAAAACAGAGACACAAGCAAAACCCATGCATCGAGTCAAGAAGATCCAGCGTTCAACATCCTAAACTGGAAACAATGTATTAAAAATACATCTGCGCCAGCCTAATAGATGGAGAAGGGGTGCGAGGCTGGTCAACAGATGTTTACCCCTTAAATCAAGGAGTTATTGATGTTTTAGTTTTTCAATTTTTTTAAAGATATTTTGAAAAAAAAAAAAAAAATTGCAAATTTATTTTGAATACAAATACAATTGTTTTTTTTTTGTAATAGCTTTGTAAAAAACTTACAAAGTTATTACAAAACATAGTTGAACATTTTATAAATTTGTTTCTTTTACTTTCATTACATAATAATAATGTCATTTTCATTACATAGTATCATGTCATTAAAATTATGTAACTTTTGTTGTTAATTGTTTTGTTGTAATAAAACATTTATTATCATCAATAAAAAAAGTAATAAAATTATATAATGTCTAATTAACATTACCATGTTAAGTTACTTAACTAAATAAAATTATATTTAGTTATCTTTTACTTTTACACAACTTTTTGTAAGTAGTTAATGGAGAATTTACAATAATTAGTAGATAGTTAGGCATTTAAAATATGTCTATTAAACTAATAGCTACTTGTTCAAGCAATATGTTCTTTATAAATACATATTGATATGATATTGTTTGTGTTTAAGTGTACTTTTCTTATTAGGGACATTAAGATTATTTAAGATTTCTTGTATTAAGTGTTTAGACAGAGATTCCTTCAATTAATTGCTGCTTTGTAAATAATTATGGAGCTTGTTATAAACAATCATATACTCAAGAAAAAAATCTGATTGAAGATATTGACAGCAATGATTGTTAGCTACTTGAAAAACGAACAAATCTGAAACAAGAACAAATTACTAATATATGCACACACCATCATGATATGTTAGTTGTAAGATAAAAGGGTAATCAGAAAAGTTGCTGTAACCCAGTTCTGAGTCACCAAAAGGTGTGTAGAGGTCAAAATTTATATATTTATATTTCATTAGGTAATATCATTAATAATAAGTTATATAAGTTTTTTTGGTAATAAGATTTGTTCAATGTTTCATAGTTATTAATATAACAAATTGTATAGTAATATAATTACATAATATATTTAATTAATGTTATTTAAATAATGTAATTACTTTCTTTTTAAGCATCTCTACGTGTGATTACAATGCATACTGTGTTAGAAGCAGAAACCATGGGTTTTAATCTTATACCTGGAAAAAAACTGTGTCCAACCTGTCGAAGTAAAGTTATGACATGTTTATCAAAAAGTATAAGTGAAAATAAAAATGATGAAGATTTTGATATTGTTAATAAAAGATCCATTCAAAATAAAAAAGAAAGTGTAGATACACACTTTGCATCTGCCGGAGTATCTCCAATTAAGGTCAAAGGGTTGCACAAGTCAGGTAAAATCAGAGAAAATAAACGAAAATTGACAGCATTAACAACCTCCAGTAAAAAAAGGTAGCCATTTCCCTTAATATATCAGAAGAAAGTTTTGAAGAACAGTCAAGTTTTAATAATGAGTATATGGAAAAAGCAAACTTGTTTGATAACATGATGGTATTGTTAACTAACAAAATTGCAGAGTCTACATCAAAATCAAAAAAAGTACAACTTGCGACACTTGCTCCAACAGACTGGTCAATAAAAAAGGTATCTGAAACATTGCATGTAACAAGCTCGAACTGCACGTAACTTAACATTAGAAAAAGGTATTTTAACCATGCCTAATCCTAAATCAGGAAAAGCTCTTCCTGATGTAACAGTTCAACTGGTCAAGACCTTTTACGAAGACGATGAACATAGCCGTATAATGCCTGGTAAAAAGGACTATGTAAGCATAAAGAAAAATGTCCACATGCAAAAACGTTTGCTCATATGTAATTTAAAGGAATTGTTTGTTGCCTTTAAAACCAAGAACCCAGAAATAAAAATAGGATTTTCAAGGTTTTGCACCTTGCGACCTAAATGGTGTATTAGTGTTGGTGCCTCAGGAACACATTCTGTATGCGTCTGTGCTATTCATCAGAATTTGAAACTGCTTTTACATCCTCTTGGTGTGACATACAAAGAACTTATATTGTCTGTGATATAACTAATAAAGACTGTATGATGAGGAAATGTGAAAAATGCCCAGCAACTATGAATGCATTGGTTGAAAAACTTTATGATATACTTGGAGAATTTGAAGATGATAATGAGATTGAATTTGATCAGTGGACAACAAGTCAAACTTGACACATAATAAAGAGCCAGTGTTTGAATACATTGAACTAGTATGTAGAAAACTGGAAAAATTTGCATTCGTATTTAGCAAAGAGTCAAGCATTATACCTGAGATTAAGAAAGGAAGATATGAATGAGGTAACAGCATTATTTCTGGGTGATTTTTCAGAAAACTATAAATTTGTAGTTCAGGATGAAGTGCAAAGCTTTCATTGGACAAATTTACAATGTACACTTCACCCAGTGATTATTCTCAAGCACTAATCCGACCTAACTGATGGTTTGTTTGGATGTAGCAAACCGTTACACAGGGTGAGAGAAATAGCTGATTTCGTTATTAAAGTTTACTGCTAAATGTGGTTCAATATAAGATGTAATCCCTCATGCACGGAAGGCGCTAGACATCTATGGCTAACCATCATTTTATCCAGGTATGCCAGTTGTGAAATAAAAAGTATAATTGGATCATCGATCCATTTATACAAAGGAATGTTTTTTTTTGCCACCGAGACAACATGTTTCTTGCTGTGATACTCGCCCAAATGTGAGGAGATTGGCATTACAACAAATAATGAAAGCATGATCGATGAAAACAACCAAAGTTCGAAAGTTGTCTATACCAGAAATCAATTTCGAAGCAAACGACTATGTAGATCTAATTGATTGGAAAAAAATGTGAACTAAATGAACCTCCGATTAACACTCTCATTTCAAATGAAAATCTAATTGAAATGATAACAAATGTTTATCTTCCAGATGTGCAGCATTTTCCATGCTATATTCAAGGAGTATAGAGATGTATCTAACTTGTAATCAAAGCTTCAGATCAAGTTTGCAGTTTTGCTAGTAGAGACGGCTTCATATATATATATATATACTTGAATCGCGAAAAATAATGCCTTTTTTCAGCACAAAAAGACAGTTTGAGACAAGTTAAACTTTATTACAGCTAAACATTAAACTATTTTCAAAAGCATTTTCCACTCTAATTGTACATTATGGACTGAAGAGCTTGTTTGCCAGAAATTCGTGAAAGCGTTTTTTCGTAAAAACTCAGCCCTCTAGCGGCAACTGAAGACAAATAAAACTCAAGCGCGAACAGAAGACATAAAAAAAATTTGTCAATTACTTTTTTCAGCATTATGCAACTTTTACGCTCTATTTCAATTTCAAATTCAAAAAAAGTTGTTTTTCGATACACCCTATTAATAAGTAGTTTTATTGCGTACTTTATAAATGCCCCCTAACACTTAGGATTTAAACAAAGAAAAGAATAAATTTTCAATAAAATTGATCCATTTTATTTATAAAAAAATATAAATAGGTATAAATTAAAAGCCAGAATTTTCGAGATTTAAACTCCATATATATCTAAATACAATTGTTATATGTAACCACCTATGTTTATGTATTGCTCACACAATAAGTCACAACAATGTTAAGTTAAAGTACTTAAAGTTAAGTACTTAAATCATTAAAATTGTGAACACTTTTAGCTGCATCCATGTAAACTATTATGATCACTAGATGAGTCAATTTCATCATCTAAATATTGTTTATCCTCCATAAACTGGTGCTCATGAATGTCACTACTTTGCAGCTCATCTAAAGAGTTTCTATTGCTTTCCATTACTCTGTTATTACTTACAATGTCTTCTATTTCTTGATTTTGAATTGCAGAGTCTCCATTTAGAGATTGCTCATTTACTAAGCCACTACTATCATGATGAATTTGGATAACAGCTGTGCGATTTCTAAAACGAAGAACACCTTCTGAACCTTGCAAACTGATTGAAGAATTGCCTTGCATATGGCTAGCAGCTTGAGCATGATGCATTGCATGCGCACTAACAATAAGTTGTGCGGTTTGATTTTCACTTACTAATATTTGACCAGTTTGGGGATCTATACGAGCCGAGCTAACAATTAGTTGGTCGCCACCAACTTGAACATCAGAACTTCTTACTATAACACCTTGAGTAAGTTGAGCTGTAAACTGTGCTGCCTCATTTTCAGTTAAAATATGCAGATTCTGAACACTTGTATTTGTTGCTTGTTGTAGCTGACTGACACTTCCAAGTATATGAGCAGTTTGGTCATCCCCCTGACTTGCTGCAGTATCAATTAACAACTGCATATCAACAGCAGTAAGCTGTGAAGCATCAACAGTTGTGATATGATTTCCATATCCATGATCATAATAAGTACCTTGATACTGAATACCGTTTTCAGAACCAATTACATTGCTGTTACTAACATTGTCTGATTCACCTTCTGTTTTGTGGATAATTTCTCGACCCTGAATCGAGTGTCCTTCAAAATCCATTCCTTTATGTCTGCGCTGAATATGACGTTTAAGACTTGAACGGTTTGCACAACCATTATCACAAAAAGGACATTCATACTGCTGAACTATTCCATCTCTACATTTTTTGACATGTAAATAAAAACCTGATTTGGAGTTATAATGTTTACGACATTTATGACATACCCCTTCAGGTAATTCAGATTCATCTACTAGCAAATATGGATTTTCCTTCGGAAATTCTAAATCTCCACCAGGTTGATGTCTAATTACATGTCGATTATAGCTTGATTTATGCTGAAATTTTGTATCACAAATAGGACATTTATAAGTAACTAAGCCTCCATCAGCAGTGTGTCGCATTACATGAGCATTATATTGAGAACGAGAATAAAACTTTTTTTCACAATAGGGGCATGTACGCACAGGTTTGTCCTCAGAATGTGTCACTTTATGTTCTTTTAAACCTGTAAATGTCTTGAAAGCATAACCACATGTATCACATTCATACTCTCTTGCTCCTGAGTGCATAACACTATGTGTGTATATTGATAAAGCTGTAGTTAATTTTTTTTTGCATACTATACATGTAATAACACCAGCATTTGCATGCACTGCAAAGCAATGTTCTTTTAAGTCAGCTTGGACTTTAAAGGTTTTAAAACAAATATCACAGCGAAAGTTTTTTATCATAGTATGCATGGTTTTGATGTGATAATTTAAGTTGCCTTTAGTTTTGTGACTACTGCCACATTGGTCACATACATAAGCTCGTGTATTTGAATGAGCAGTCATATGTAAATTTAATGCTCTCTTATTAGTAACACGTTTTCCACATATTTCACACTGATAGCGACCATTTTTAAAATGTACAACAGCCTGGTGTTCACGAAGCCCATATTTATTTGAGATAACCTTATCACATATATCACAAGTTACAGGACCTTTTACATCACCATATAAATATCTTTCTTTTTTTTCTTTTTTAGATTTGATATACTCTTCAGTTACCTCATCGTTTCCAATTTTGTCAGCATTCTCACTTTCTTCAGCTGAACTTTGACTTTTACTTTCTTTGCGTAAAATTTTTACTTGAATATTGTTTTTCCTTGGTCTTCCTCTCAACTTTTTACTACGCTTTTTACATGACTCATTGATTGCTGCTTTACGCTTTCTACAACTTTCATCAGTAATATCATTATCACCTAAAATTCAAAATAATAAATTAACAAATTAAAATTTAACTTTAAATCAAAGAACATAACCAAAAATCTTATGCAAAGTTGAAGAAGCATTACACTATTAGTAATGCTTCTTAAGAAAGCCAGCTCTCATATTTTATCATGCTATAGGTAAAGTTTAATTAGCAGTAACCTTATTGTCAAAATGATATCAGCTTCAAGGTTAAAATTTCCAAAATAAAGATATCTTCATTTTGTAAAATTTAACCTAGAATCAAAATGTTTGTTAACTTGATGAAAAAATAAAATGAAGCCATTAAACCTAGTGTTTAATCCTAAAACCAGCAGTAAAGATATAGTGTATAGATATAGTGAAACATGTTTTTGATGAACTGATTGATATTTCTTATAATTTAATACAAATAAATTTTAATAATATTTAATCATAATATTTGTAAATATTATTGGGACTATACTATTGTTCTTATTTTCAAATAAAACTGCGTTATTGTCTTACCAAATTAAACATTACACAGTTATATTTGTCTTAAATGTGTCTCTATAATAAAAAATAGTAAAAATATACACAAACACGCTAATATTCATAAAAATATAAAAATGGGTATTTATTGTAAAAATTTGTGCAAATATAAATAGATTTATAGAGTGGAAAATATAAAATGATGAAATGACTGGAAAAGGTATATTAATTTAATATACTTTTTCCAGTCATTTCTTATGTATTTAAATTAAGCTTATAACAGCTTTATGGAAGAAACTTTGAAAATAATGATACCAACAGAATGTGTAATTTGAAAAACTATCTACTTTTTTCTTTATCTTTTTCATTGGATTCAGTACATTTTACAACACTTTCTTCTGCAGAGATAGAAGTTGTAAGATTTAGTTTATTAACATTGACTACTCTGTCGTTGTTTGCATTTAGTACTTCAACAACACATTCTGATTCTTCTGCCTTTAATTGTAAAAACAATAACTTAACCAATAAATCAATAAATTAACAAAAAGTATTTACTCAAAATTTTAAAGATTTTTAATTACCTTTTTGTTTCTAAAAAATTTTGCACTATCAGATTCATTTTGTTCTTGTGACTTATTTAACCAGAACTCATCTACTAGGTTCTGATATGACTTTATAAGTTGCTCATGAACCCATGAATCTTTCCATGCAACACGATAAGAGTGACTTCCATCCTAATATACATAAATAGATATATATATTGTTTGTTATAAACAGTTCGTAAAACACTTTAATATTTATTTCACATTATTTTTAAAACATTTTAAAACAATGTAAATAATAAAAAAATTTATGCAAACACGTAAGTTTGCAATTAACTTTTAGCACTTAATTTTGAAACATTTAAACATTAAAGGTCAAGTTTTCAATCGTTGGTAAATATTAATACGAAAACGATGTAATGCGCATTGTTAAAATATTTAGAAAAAACATTAGGTATCTTTACAGGTAGACTGAAAACCTCCAAAATTTTTTCTGGTTGCAGATTAACACCTAACAAACCACTTTTTAAAATTTCTGAACTGTAATCATCGGTATTATCAGCATTTGACGAAAGGTCAGAACTTTTCACAAAGTCAGCTGCCGATTCTGGATGCTGTAATGCTGTAACGGATTCATTAAAATTTCTAGAAACAGGAATATTGACAACTTGGTGGAACTCATCCGCCATGATTCGTGCAGCCTTATTCATTATTAAAAGTGGGTGTTTTATGTTAAAAAAACTACTTAATAATTATTATAAAGCAATTTACGAGCGTGTGACCACATTGGCAATCAAAAGCAGACTCGCCCCCAGCAAAGAAATTCAGACTACTTGGGTTGCTAAATTAAATTGTAGAGTGATTCTGTTACTTTCTAATAGTTAAAAATTATTAGTCCGTTGGATTTTAATTCAAATTGTGTAATTTTTTAAAATTGATTTTTTTTTCTTATTACATACTAGTTTATGAGAAGAAAAAAAAAATGTTACGCTTAAAAGGAATAACATCCCAATTAGTTTAATTTTAACATAAATTTTTTTAAGTTTTTCAAACTTTTGTTTTTATAAAGAAAGCTGCTTCATAGGAACTTTATAAATAATAAAGTCTTAGCTCTCATGTTTAATTTTTTATTATTATTAAAATTTATTACTTTTTTTAGCAAGATAAAGGATTTTTTATTTTTAATTTAAACTTAATATTTTTTTTTAAATTATGAATATTGTTTTTATAAACAATTAGGCAATCGTATATACAATAATCACGCTATTAATTGTTGATGGTTGTCTCTCACAAGTCTATGTTTCCAGATTCTCATAACAGGTAAGATTTGTTTTAAAACTGTGCTTTAGTATAAAACTATTGATTAAGTATTTTAAAAAAAATTAAAAGATAACATTTTACTCAGAGAGAAACCTGATAAGGTTAAATTTTGTTGATCTACTGATACTATATTAGTCAAGTGTTGCAAAGAAGCCAAGTTATTAATAAATTCCTATAAAATTATAGATACAGTTATGGCAATCCTACAGTTACGCGTCATAAAATAATTATATTTTTGCCAGGGGGTTTTGCTACATCGATATAATAAAAGAAAAAAGATTGCTGCCATGCTGTCCATGCCAAACTCTCAGTCGATGTAGCAGCACTTCCTTGTAGCAGCAGGCTATAAGATAGTCGATGTAGCAGCATTCCGTTGCGAGTCAGGCTATAAAATAGTCGATGTAGCAAAACCCCCTGGCAAAAATATAATTATTTTAGGTCGCGTAACTGTAGCTTTACCACAATTATTTGTAGACATTTTAAAACACCTTTAAAATCACAAAATTGTGCCTAACTAAAAAAAATCAAATAAATTTTTTATTGATATTATTGTTATAATTTTTCCTTTTGTAATTATTTTAAGCATTTTTTATTCTATTTTTGTAATTCTTTATTTACAGAACATCATTTATTACTGTTTAGAAATGAGCTTGTCAATCATCCCTTTAGCATGATATAAGTAAATAAAAAAAATATAAGAAATAGTATAGTTCAGTAAACATATTCATTATATTTATTATTATCATAAGACACAACACAGCTCACAATGGATGGCATTTATGGACTTTGAAATAGCAGAGTATCAAGAGAGATATTAATGTTAGCCTTAAGGTATTTAAGTGTTAAAGAATTGTAGGTAACAGTTATTTTTACAATGTACAAAGATTTACCACAGCAATCAAAGTATAATATAAAGAGAATGATGATTTAAATGTAAAGATTAATGTGCATCAGGGTTCAAACACTTTTTAAAGAGTCCAATGTTGATTTACATAGGAGCTATTTTATTTAGATGATTATACTTGATTTTTACATATTCTGACAGTCCTATATTAATGAATGGCAACCCTCTCAGTAAGTCCTCTTTTTAAAAATCTTCTTGGGTTATCGTTCACTACTAACTTCTCATGGAAACTATATATAATTCCAGGCTTGGTCGGGAAGTGATCGCTCTCGATTTCTGACCACGAAAATATTATTTAGTTTCAAAAAGCTGGCCAGATTTTTTAGTCGCTTTGAGAACATTTCAAAAAGCAAAAAAAAAATGTGCGAAAGATTAATTGGACCAATAAGAAACAATTACAAAAAAAGTATATATTTTAATGCGAAAAAACTTAAAGCAAAATAAATTACCTTTAGAACAAATATTTTCGAAACATCACCTTTTTATAATTTTTTTTATAAAATTAAGCGAGGTTTTTTATATAAAGTAACATCTTACGATTGTTTAAAAAGGAAACACATGTTCTTGGTTTAGCAAAGTTTGTAAGTTTTAGTTTTATCTAAGCTAAATTATTTTATAAATAAAAAAGTACATTTTTTTAATACCTATTTTATGTTTCGCCTAGTTTGAAAAGTTTAACATATTTGATACAATTCTTCTTAGTAAGATAAACAAATGAAATAATTAAATCTTTGAATGCTATAGAAATAAAATTAACTAGATAGAAATCAATTAAAAAGGTTAAAAATACTTTATGACAAGGAAGCGAAACTGCTTAACAATATCGCTGATGGTGTTTAGCGAGTGGGCTTTTTCATTTTAATTAAAATAAGCAGAAAAAAGTATAACGAGTTTTTAAGTCTTTGTTTACAAATTAAATCATAAAAATTGCTTTAAAAGAAATTCATTCGATAAAAACAGATACAAAAAATTACATTTACATAAAAAATATATTCTTTTTAAACAAAAAATAAGAATATACTAATAATATTATCTATAATTTATATAATAATAATAATATCTATAATTTATAATAAACTTTCAAAATTTTGACAATTTAAATTAATATGGAATGAATAATGAGAAAAAACTTTCTATTTTTAATAGATTTACCTTTGTTTTATTTTTTCACCTGTAGCGTGGAAGTCTCATTGATTGATTTTAATAAATAATTGCTCCTATAGTATTTAGTTTCACTGTGCACCTCTGGTTATCAAAAAATAATGATTTATATAATATAAATTCAAATACAGATTGAAATTATTAATATAAAAATAAATTTGTAGTAATAATTAGTAATAATCTTTTTTTTTTTTTAATATTTATGCAGATTATTTTTGAAATAAAAATTCAAAAATATCAATTTGAAAAAAAAAATACCTAACATATTGAAGATTTTATTTTAAAATCTTTCGTTTTCAATGAAATTTTCAATAAGTTTTGAATATTATATGTGTAAAGATATTTTAAAAGTTGTTGTTTGATTTTGTTTAGGTAAAGTTGAAGTTGCATAGTTAATTGTATTTGCTGTCACAATTTTTCAACAAATTTTTTCTTCTGAATTTTTATCCCAGTTCTTTTTTTTTAAAAAAAAAAAATTGAGAGGAAAGAATTAAGGGTTATCCGGTAAGAGTTATGTGGAATCAAAGTCAGCCATTACAACCGAACTGGGGTTGGCCACCTAATCCAAATTATCAGTTTAATAGTAGTCAAGGTCAGTAGACTTATTTGTTATTTTTAAAGCATGTTACAGGAGGATAGCTATTACATGATAACTTAATTAAAACAATACCCCTTTTAAAATTGTTTATAAGATTGTGTAGTAGCTACCACTTGAAAAATGCAAAAGCTTTTAAACAGACACTAAAAATGATCACATATAAGAAGTTTGTACTGGAGAAGAAATGTATTTGTTAATTAAAAATATTTTTAATGTAATCAACCCTTGAAATGATTTTTAATTTAATAACATGTATAAGTGATTTAATTTCTTTGCTGAAAACTGTATAAATGCTCTTAATTAAGAATAAAAAAGCATTTTAGATAATTCTTTTATATATATATATATATATATATATATATATATATATATATATATATATATATATATATATATATATATATATATCTGTGTGTGTGTGTCTTTCAATTTTATTCTAGTTAAAAGTAGCTTACACTAAATTTAAGGCTTTCTAATTAAATGGCTGTGCATGGTTTATGTGACTTGTGAGTTTTATGTTCTCTGGTCCCTACTTTATTATTGCTTAAAATATTTGAATTAAGTGTAAACATAACATTATTGTCAAGTATTGATTTTTAACCATTGTTTAACGTATTTTTAATATTTCAACTTTAATTAAAGAAAGGTAATAATTAATTTACATGATTTTTCTATTAAATGATATATATTAAAAAAAAAACAATTTTTTTATTTTAAAAAAATCTGAATTAAGCGCTAGAAATAACAGCCAATGAGCAATCAACAATCATCTGCTTTTTAAAAAAGTATTTTAATTTCCCAATATTAATTCTGGACAATCAAACTTGATTTGTGCTATTAATTCAATTTTTATTTTAATTTTAAAGTTATTATGTTATGTTTAGAGTGTTATTAATTATATTATCTTGGAATAATTATGTTTGTGAGTCTATTTATAGAAGGGTTTTTATGAATAATCTTTCATTATTTTCATTAAATATAACATATTGAAAGTTGGTATTATTAAAAACAAACAAAACAAACAAGGAATAAATAATTGTGGCAAATTCATTAAAAAAAAACTTGTTAAGATAGTCTGAAAAATTCATACTTCATTTTAAATACTTAATATAAGTATAAGTCAAATACTTTATTTTAATTATTTCAAAACTATTTTCTAGTTAAACATTAGAGTAACATTTTATGTCTGTTTTTAATGTTTTCTACATTTAATTGGTATGAATTAATTTATAATAGAACTCCTGTACAAATTTGGTCTGCTTAATTACTGATTGTACAGAAATTGAGAAAGTAGAGAATAAATATATCAGTCATTAAGTCTTTTAAGTATATTCATATTTGGAGTATTTTTTTTTTCTTCAAAGGATGAGAATAATAAAAATGAGTGTTTCACTGTCTATGAAGTTTTGTCTGAAAAAAATATTATATTCTTTTTATTATGTAAAACTATTATTTTTTTAATTATGTATTAGTGAATTAAATTTATATGCATAAATATTTTGTATTTTTTTAATTTTATTATAATAAAAAAACATTTTATTGTATCTTAAGATGAAAGTCAAAGTTGGGCGGCTGCTGCTGCTCTTTGGGTTCAACATAAGCAATTTCAACCAAACAATAATGAAGGTTATGCAGTATTGGATAAACCACCTGAACCTCCTGGTCCTCCTCCTTTACCACCACCTTTACCTCCACCAGAAGAAATTCCAATATCTGTAGTTGACTATAATCATGGTCAAACAATTCTTGAGAATAAATCAGATTTGTTTCAAAATGATTTAAATAATAAAGAAACTTTAAGTTCTCAGGTTATGCCAGGTGATGTTTTTGATTATAACCATGGTAAACCAGAAGAAAGTGGGCCAGACCAAAATTGGGGTTATAATATGTGGGCAGGACAACAACCTGCACAACCTGTTCCTGGATTTTATAACTCTGATTGGAATCAAGGACAATGGAATGGAGATCATTGGGAAAATTGGAACGATAGTTCAGCTGGTTTTCACCCACATCCAGAATGTTTTGATCAAAATAGTTTTCACCCTCCAGTTTTCCAAGATGTTATAAAGCCTAAAGATATTATTTTCAATGGCCGTCCAGAAATTAACTCTCCAGGTTATTTTAGTTGTTTTGTTTTACTTTTTGATTTTATTTTACTGCTAAGTTAAAAGACCAAATATTATTTTATGTTTGAAGTTTATTTTAAATTAAAAAATTGAAATTATACTTTATAAAATTTCTTTCTTTATCAGACCCTGTTGAGTTAGCTAAAAAAGGAAAATCTCTTCCATTGTGGCTTCGTCAAGGTTTGGAGAAACTAGGTAAAGAAAAAGAAAAACAAAAAGTCAAGGAGGATCTCCCTATTGCCAAAAAAATATCTGGTTATCAGCATGGATCTCCACATTCATCACCAGAGAGAGAAAAACAGGTATCAATTTTTAATTAAAATTTGAGTAACATTCAAAACAAACAATACAAAAGCTAAATTTTAATGTTTTGATTAATTAACAAAGCAATATATTATTTGGATTAATGTCAACTAAAATTTTAGTTGTCATTAATCCGAATAAATATTGTTAACGGGGAACTGATGGGCAAGGTAGGCAGCATGTACTCTTTTTAAAATTAAAATAATGGCAATTTTTTCAGTAATGTTCTTGTTCTTAATAATTAAATTTATTAATTTATATATTTATTGATTATTTACACTTTAACTGGATTTTTAAAAATAATTCTTAAGGATTGTGTAGATTTCATTAGGTTTAATGAAAGTAAAACAAACTATAATTGATAATTCGTCATTTAATGTGTGCTCATTTTTGGTTATTACATTTATAAACTTGTATTCTTAGGTAACTTTTATTTGTTTTTTCTTTCTCACTATGTTTGTTATTTTACTGGCCCAAATTTAATTGCTTTTCATTTATTATTTTTTGGAATAAAACTAAAAAGTGAAAACTGTACAGAAAGTTAGTAAAAAACAGTTTGTTACAAACAAATGTAAACTGCAGTATAAAACTGTTGGCACTTTTGTGACCTTAAAGATATTATGTTTCACTTTTTTGTTAACTCTCTAAAAGATGGAATTAGTTTTTAAAATATTGTGTTAAGTTTGGTATAGTTTATACAATTTATATACTCTTATACAAATTAAAGACCAAAGAAAGTTAGATAAAAATAAAAATATTCAAAAATATTTTGTAATATGATTTTTAAATGTGTTTTGATTTATTTTGAAATTGTTTTCTTGTAGATTGAACCTGAAAAAGCTGAAGTAACTCAAATTATGGATCAGGAAGAGAGTGTTTCTTTAGTATCTCAAGAGGTTGAAACCAGTCCAAATCACAAAGTTGAAGAAGAATTGGATGAAGAAGAAAAGCAAAAACAGAGAGTATGATATTAATATTATTATTAAATGAGGTTTGTGCGTCTGGTCAGTAATTTATGTTACAATTGTATATAATTATAATTTTCATAAAATTGTTATAATTGATTCCAACTAAACCTAATATTTACTGCTAATACTGAGCAATTATTGGTTAATTTGCACTGAATGTGTTCCTTGCAGATGTTGAAAATAAAAACGTGGATGACAGAAACACTTTTAGGGGTTACAAATGACGAAATACAATCCCTCTGCAATGAGGTCTATTTTGAAATTAAAAAATCAGGTGTGTATGCTGTTATAAGGTTCTGGAGGTTATTAAGGCCCTCTCAGGTTGCAAAGAAAACTAAATGTGAAATAAAAATCATAGAAACATTTCAACTGTTTTTAATGTATAATCATTTACACATTTGTCTTGTTACAAAGTAGTGTTTAAAATAAAAAAAATATTTAGATCATTTATTTATTTTTTTTTTGTTATTAGATAACTGATATCATATCTGTTATGTTTAGTTTTTGCATTATTAAAATTCATTCAATTATCAATTTCTCTGTAAGAAAAAAAAAAAGGTGGTCAAATTAAAGAATATTTAAACTGATATAAGCAACTTTATACCTATACTGCTTTTTATTAAAGTGATTTCACAAAACTTTGCATTTATTTTATTGTACAAAAATAGTTAATTACCATTTGGCTATACTATGTTTATATCAGGAGGAAAAGTATTAGTTTTAAAGTATTATATTTTATTAAATTGAAATAATTATAATAGAATTTATCAATTAACAAATTATTTTAAAATTTTCTTTTTAAAAAAGGTGAATATTTAATAAAAGGTATATTAAGTCCTAAGAAGGTCTTAATACCCTCTGGTACCTTAGACCTTTTTTACTCTTTGTTGTGGTAAATAATTATCTTTTTTATATCTTCTTATTTTGTATTTAATTTTTTTTTTATATATATCTTACAATAAAATCAAAGTTTTCTAAATTTAGTTAAAGTTAAAGCAACACAATTGAGACAATCAGGTGGGCTTGAGGCTTTACGTTCTGCTGCATTGGGTAGGTTTTTATGCTTCAAATATAATCTGAAAGACAAATCTCCCAATTGAAGTCCCAATTGCTGTTTATAAAAAGTGTAGCTTTATAAAAATGATAACTTTTTAAATAGTTTTATATCCTCTATACATTTGAAAATACATATATGCCCATTTGCAGGAGATGGAGATGCATCGGCTAGTGACAGTGAAGAGGAATTGTCTTCTGCAAAGGAAATAAAGCCGGTTGAGACGATTAAAGCTCCTGAAGTTAATCGAATATCTCCTGTACCTATTAAAACTCCTGACGTGCCATCAAAAGCAGTTTGCTCTGACAGGAGAGAAGAAAAATTGCAGGCTGAAATAAAGAGTTTGGATATATTAATTCAAGCTAGAAAACAGCAAAAAATTAACGCGGAAAAGAACCTTGAATTAAAACGACATAAAGACACTGTTATGTCAAAAAAAAGTCGAAACGAACAACAAACTTCAGACAGTGACGAATCAACAAGTAATTTACGTAAAAAACGAAAACAATCTTCAAGTAGTTCTTCTGAGAGCGAAAGCGAAGAAAGTGATAGTTCGGACAGTGAAACAGTTACTAAAAAAAGAAAAAAATCTAAACATCGCCAACAATCCCCAAGTAGACATAAAAAAAGCAAAAAAAAACCCAAGCGACTCGAAAGTTCCAGTGAATCGGATCATAAAAAAAAAAAACGAAAAAGAAAAGAACTTACTTCATCTTCTGATGAAAGTTCCCATTCGCTGCGTAAAAAAAAGTCAAAGGGTAAGAAGCATAAACACAAATCAAGAAGTCATTCTAGGTAAACGTTTTCCTTTTTATATTCAATAATACGTGCATCATAGCGATTTTTTTATAATTTTTCTATTGAACAGGTAATAATGTTTTGCGTTCTGTTTTACATTAGTATTTTATAACTTTAAATTAATAGTTTTTGCAGCAAGCTTGACAAAATAGTTCATCCATAGGTCCCCTAAACATTCAAAACAGAGAAGGTAGCAAAAGATAGCGATATTTTCAGAATTTAATGTTCGGAAGTCTTTTGGGAAGATCAGTACGAAATCAATTGAAAAGTTTATCGGAATCGATTCTTTTGAAGTGTTATCACGTTTATCGTGTCGCGCTTATGTTTTTTTTAATAGTATTTTAAAGCTATAGATAATTAAAAAGCTTTGAAATGGTATTGTAAATTATTTTAAAATTGTAATAAAAAATCGAACTACTACTCCAACATCCTTGCGAGGGATTAATATAATTTTTTTTTTGCGGTTGTTTTTTTTTTGAATTACTCGATTTTGATAAATATTTTTAATTCAAAGAAAATATTTCGTGGGCTAGAAAAAAGATTTTTTTAGGACCTGTGTAATGTTAGGGTGTTATTTTATTTTAGTGATAACTTTCAGAAATGAAGTAAACTCGTAGCTTGTCTATAAAAGGTGCCGTTTTTTTACTCAGGCTTATTAAATTAAAGACATTTTTTTTTTTTTTTAATATAACAAGCCTGGGTTGGTAAATGTTGTTCATTTATATCTAAAATACTCTTGAAAATATCAATGCTCTTGCAAATTATCTTATAAAAATAAAACGTACATTTTAGTAAGTTTTTCGGTGGCCTATAACTGGACCTAATTTAGAAATTTTTAAAATGATAGAATATGACAATTTTGAATTTCAACCTACAACTTTTGATTTTTCATAGTTACTACTAATAAAAACATGAACTACTAATTTTTTAATCCTACTGCGTTTTTAATCTACTCAATTTTTAACCTACTGTTTTTTCGATCGACTTTATAACTCCTTTTTTTCCGGTATGTATTTTATTTGTTGTTAATTTGAATCAGAGCTAAATTTAATCCGCCGTGGAGTGCTGGCTTATAATTAAGAGGTCCTAGGTTTGATGTCTGGTCACGGAATATAAGGCGGTGTGATTTTTTTTTTCTTTTAAATTATTTTTTTCTCAGTCAGTTCGTGAAAACTTTCGATCGAACGCCATGTTACTAAATAAGTATTTTTTTTAATTTCTGTTCATAAATCTTTAATTTTTACAAAACACGCGTAAAATTATTTAATTCTCGCGTGGCATAAGGTCAAATGCGCATTTTCTAACAGCTGTTTTATCAAAATTTCAATAGGATTTAATATGGTGTTGTAAGTTTTAAACTTAGGTGAGAAATAAACCAAAATTTTCGACGTATCAAGATTTTTTATTTGTAAAAATGTAACTTTTTTTTATATGTAAAAATGTATTTTTTTATTTGTAAAAAAAAAAAAGTGACGCCAACTGTGTTCTTTTTAGATTAATATGATTAAAACTCACGTTAATAAATATTTTTATAAGAGGCGTGAACTTCCTTTAAAATGCTCATCCGAAGTACACTGTGATAAGACCGTACGGACTTCTTGGGGCATCTAAAAAAATTAACAAACAAAAAAAAAAGAATCCCCACCTTGGAGTAGCTCTAGCCTTTGTACAGTAATGGAGAATCATCATCCACTTGTGTCACTTTAAATATTTTATTATAACCAATATGGTTTTCGATCAAATTACTCTACGGAACATGCACTTATGCAACTTGTTTGAAGTTTTTTTTTTTTAGTTTGTTAGTTTATTTCGCCGTTAAAAATATTCACTAAGTACAACAATATAAAAAGTACAATGGTTGGAGTGAGAAGAAGGCATAAGTTAGCCCTATCACCGAGCACCAATAGTAACGCAAATAAATATCCGTAAATATAATAATCCGTAATAAATAAGCAACAGCATTTAAAAAAAGACAATTTTAAGATGTTAAGAAATAAAATTAAAAAAAAAAGTAATAAAGTAATTGAAACAAAAAAAAAAAAAGAAATGAATAAAGTAATAATAATGCCAAAAAAAACTTCTGTTTTTGGTTATAATCTGAATGTGATTCGATATATATATTGCACATATTATTTTCTTTCAAAATAATTCAAATAAAATTTCTGTTACAATATCATAAAATATATCAGGGAAATTGTAGGTAACTTCAAGAATATATATTTTCAATGAACAAAAATAAAGACATTGAAATTCTTAATATTAATGGTCTAGTTCTGATAAGTTTTGATGGTTAACACCGTTAACCATCAGCACTTATCAGAAAAAATAAAATATTATGGAATAAGCCACGAATACCATAAATGATTTACCAGTTACTTAACTGATCAAAAGCAGTTTATTTCTCTAAATGGTGACTTTCAGACAAAAAAACTTAAAATATCATGTGGGGCTCCACAAGGCTCCATCTTTCAGCGATAAATTTTGTTTCAGAATAAAAATTGTATTTTTCATAGCAAATATTCTTAACAATTTTTAGACATAAAAAGGTAAAATAAACTTTTATTATAAAGACAGTAAAAAACTATGCATGTAAAATGGCAAAATAAAGCAATACGTTATTACATTCTGCGGTCAGTTATTTCTAACTGATAGTTTATTATGAATGGTATTTCAAAAAGGTATGGTAAGTAGGTAAGTAGATAACACAGTTTTTGTGGCGATAAAGTAGGATTAACACATATGCGCTTGACAAGTGGAACTGGCTTCTTAGTTTCACATTGTGGTACAATGACTAATAAATTAAAGAGTTATTACAAAAAATATTTGCACATTTCTGCAATGGCACACTTATACAAAATAACACACTTAAACTTAATGTGTTCGAGAAACACGAGTTAAAACATGTAAGCACAAATAAACTGCGTCATATAGTTAGACCTACAAAAATTTCAACGCACTAAATTGTTCTACAAAAAGAACATCTAACAAAAAGTATTAATAATGTACTGAGGCCTAAACATTTTTTTTTCAACCAGTTTATGACGTTTTAGTTTTCGACCAATTTATTTTTCGACCTCTTTCATAGATTTTTGTTTTTATTCGATTTGAGATAAATTAATTTTCAATTGATTATCTAATTGGTGTTTTTAACGTTGTTTTTTTAAATTACGAAAACTTTTTTTAACGTACAAAAGTTAAGTTAGCAATTAATAAGTTTTGTAAGTATTCATTGAATCTTATAAATTGAAAATAATACCTTATACCTCCTGATTATGAAGACAGCGTTTCAACCATTACACCAAGGCTCATCAAATTTGGCTTGTGTTCAAATTAACAACAAAGTATACAAAATACATACCGGATAGAAATAATTATAAAATTGAAAATAAACTAGATTGAATATTAATTAGGTTGAAAATTCAGTAGGTCAAAAATACAGTAGGTCAATGATTTAGTAGGTTGGAAAACTAGTAGTAAATGTTTTAGTTATGTGTAAGTATAAAAATAAAAAATTGTCAGTTGAAAATCTAAAACATCAAAATCACAATTTACAAATATTCAAAATTAGGTTGAGTAGGCCACCAAATAAACTGTTTGTAATAAATATGAAACTTTAATTCTGAGCAGGTTGTTTAAAAACATTTCTTGTTTTGTTATACTTTTTAAACAAAAAAATTAAAACATAACATAATTTGCATAAAGCAAATTTGATTTAAAGGGCTTTTAGAAAGTTCAATTTGTAACGTTTTTTTTTAAAGTTTTCATTATATTATAATTTATAAAAATAAAAATATATAATAATAGAAATACATAAAAAAAACTTGTGTTGTTTTGTTTTTGCATGCATCAAGATTAAATAAAAATGGCAGTTAATAGTAGAAATAATACATAAAAATAATAACATAAAAGGTCAGTAACTTTCATAGGCTGATGTAACACAGGCTTCTTGTTGATTAAATTATTGAAACAAAAACTTGTCTATTTTTGATTTATTGTTAATGTTTTTGAAGAAAAATCCTTAAAAGCGCAAGAAAATAACGGTAAAAACACAGACTAGTAGATTAAAATGACTTTCCCCTATATTCGGTCGAAAATTAAATTATGGCAAATCGGTTGAAATTAAAAGTCTGTGAAATAGGTTGATAAAAAATTCAGTTGAAATAGAAAGTTTCATAAATCGTTCGAATTAAAAAAGGCCTATAATCTGTTGAAAATATTTTAGCCCTCAGTAGAACATATAAAAATTATTTCCACTTTTTAGTAGATGTTTTATTTTTTTGTAGATCAAGTTTGTAGGTGCAGGATTTTGTAGTTTAAACTATGTGAAACGAGTCTATCCTAATACTTTTTTTATAAAATTTAATTTCAGTTAGTTATTGTTCAGCCTCTGTCTCCTAATATTGATGTCATTTTTCTTACACCTCCCCTCTAAAACAAAATTAAAAAATATATTTATTCTGAACGATACTAAGTTAATGTAAAAATAATGACTAATTGTTTGTTCAGATTTTGTAGAAAGTAGTAAGATTGCTTCTGAGTTTTGATAATAAAAATTTTTAGTATTGCTCAATTCGCAATCCGATTGATGGTTTTCTTTCTGCCAACAAAATTTTTATCACATTGTAGGTGTAAGTGTCTTAAAATCTTCTGATAGATGGTGTAAACAAAAACTTTAAAAATATATACAAATTTAATGACATTGCTTTGGCCTCAACACTCTCCCCTCGTTGTCAATCATTGTCAAATTTTTCAGCACCCCTCCTTTTTTATGGATGGCTGACCAATTTGTGTAAAGGAGATCTGCTCTGAATTTATGACGATTGTAATTTGAAAAATTGAAGCTAATAAAGATTTTTCTAATTATATTTTATATATATATATTATATTATTAACAACCTCTGTAAAATATATTTACAAGGTAAAAATACAAACTAAGAAAAAGAAGAGATTAATAAAAAGTATCATTTAGGAATGTTTTCTTCAAGTGTGTTTTAAAAACTTGTTCGCTGTTGTTTTACATTCCAATATTAGACCGCCTGTACCAAAATATAAAGAGTCTCTAGTTATTTTTTTTTTAACCAGCATTAAGGTTTTCACATTCAGTTTATCAATATCACATAATTAAAAAAAGAGTGTATATATATATATATATATATATATATATATATATATATATATATATATATATATATATATATATATATATATATATATATATATATATATATATATATATATATATATATATGTATATATATATATATATATATATATATATATATATATATATATATATATATATATAACAACAAATATATGTTATATATAACAACAAATATATGTTGTATATTTATAATATAATATAAATATATGTTACCCTTGACAGAGCACCGAGGAATAGCACTTAACCAGGAAGTTTAAACCTCCTACCTTACCAATGATGTC